AGAAGCCCAGAGGGTTGGCCCGTCTGAAGTCATTTGCATTCCTTGGTCGGTTTGACCCTGGCAGCTCAGGAAACTGATAATTTACTTCTGTAGATTTGGCAGGAGCGAAAATGAAAGGCAGCATCTAGGTCTTGGCAAGGGGCTGCGCGAGAGCCATGGTGGGCAATTAGGAGAGCAAGTTGTTTGCCTGCAGGCTGGTGCGTGAAGAGGCGAGAGTTGTATTTCTCCACCTCATCCTGGGACCTGCTGAAGGCACTGGAGATGAGTGGCTGAGGGATGAAATATGTTTTTTTCTCCTGCCTGGGGCCCCAAGTTTTATTTGTTACCTGGAGTCCTGCATGCGGTGGGAAGCCTGGTCTGCTTCTGCACGGAGGAGCAGGCAGAGGGAGAAAGGGCCAAAAGCTGGAGTCTTCAGTGATGTGGCCGGGAGGGTCCGGTGGATGTCAATCGCAGCCACTCTGGCTTAGAGTTTCGCTTTGCAAAATGAATCGTTAAGTGGTGAGGCACAGAGGAGGCATTTCAGGGCCAGCTCGGAAGGGGAAGGAAGGTTTCGAGCACTGTCATTGCTGCTTGGAGAGGCTTTGGAGGAGTTTCTGAATATAGTTTTGGGATGGTCGTTGTGCCTTCTCTAAAATGGTGAAGTGAAAGCCCCAAAGAGCTGGTCATGCTGGCAGGGAGGGCTCCCGAGCAAAGCCACCCGGTGCTTCTGCCGTGGAGGTCTGGTGGGGAGAACAGCAAAGGGGAGTGCGCCTAGCCTGGTCCTGAGTCACACCTGCTGCAGGAGAGCCCTTCCCTGGATCCTCCTAATCTGTGCTGACTCTTGGACCACCAGATGGGAGATTTTAGCTTTAAGAAAGGGTTTATTTAATGTTGTATTTTCACTTCCTGCGGTTTTGCTCCCGTGTTCTCTCCCTTTCCAAACCCACCTTTTTGTTGCCTGCATCCTTGCTTAGCGTTCAGCCCCTCACACCCGAACCTTTCTCCCTTCTGCCTCCTTTCTCTAGAAAAGCAAGCTGTGAAGCTGCTGTCGGGAGCAGCTATCCCTTGTAATGGCTGTTAAAGCTCTGTAGCTGCTGAGAGGTTTGGGTCCAGGTCTCAGATCTACACAGCCTCCGACTCTCCGTAGATATGGGCGTAGGAAGACAGTTATGAACCCCAGAGAAAGGAAAGGACCCTGCCAAGTGGCACTGGTGCAGGAGGAGCTTGGAGAGCACAGCAGGAGGAGGCGTGAGTGGTTTCAAAAAAAGGGAATAGCATCGAGGCTTGGCTCCCTTCTGCACCTCCCCAAGAGGACCCCGCAGCCCCGCTTCACCATCAGCGCGGGAACTGGGATGCTATTAGGCAGTTCATTAGTAAAACCTCTGAGCAGTTCCCACTGCCGTTGAGTACCCATTAATGCCTCTCGAGGGGAGAGGAGCACATTGGAAAAGCACAAAAACAATCTGAGGGTCCTTGATCTCTTTTTGGTCTGAGAGGTCATGGGCTGGGGTTGGAGGGGCAGCTGGGAGAGGAAGGGGGGGCCGGGCAGGGATGCCAGGCATGAAAGCAGCACCGTGATTATCTGCCGAAGTCTGAGTGCAAAAACATAACCTGACTTGAACTGTTACTTCTCAAAAGCTCCTGAGGGGTGATTTAGGGTTATAAACATCTACTCACTGACCCGCTTTGTGCACATCTCGAGCCAGGTATTCCCGCACCAGAGGAAAAAACAGCAAAATCTGCGCAGATGTCCCTAACAGCTGCAGCTGGGCTGCAGTAAACCACCCCTGCTGCTACAGTTTATTAGCGCTGCAGGGTCTGTCCCCTTCTCCTTGCTTGCTTGTGTATACAGTCAGCTGTTAAAGGACACTGACATCACTTAATTAATGGTTTAATTGAATCCCACAAAGGGATCGAAATTGGCTGCCTGACTCTTGTCACCGAGATGCTCACATAAGAAATAGTAAATCACCAATTCAGCAGATAAAGCTGCAGCTCTAGGTAGAAAGTCCTTGTTGCTGGGGAGAGGGAATAATTCCTCTTTGCAGAATAATATACTCTTAGGGAGAAGGCTGGGGGCTATTTTTCCAAACCACCAAGTGCCATCCCTGTCCAAGGGAAGGGTAACCGGGTTGGACTAAGTCCCCAAGGTGGTATGGCCCTCATTAAGGGGTAAACAGACCTGAGGTAGCATTTTATGTGTAAATCTGTCTTGCGTTTCACCCCCTATGTGATGGAGAAAGGTCCAGGTGGTATTTTAAAACAGAGGGCAAAACCGCAGGAAGACCAGGGTTGAACCACAATGAAGCTTTGTGGTCAGTAGCAGCTTCTGAGCTTGTTTCCAGGAAAAGGGCTTCTTTGAGAGCAGGGAATCAAAATTTGGGAGGGAGTGGAGAGAAAAATGTCCCAAAGCAATGGGGAAGTCCAAAGGGAGAGGATGTGACCCTAATGAGGGTGCTAATGCTGTGGCCTTGCTACTGACAAGTGAAGTAATTGCTGCTCAGGAGGAATGTGAGCCAGCAGAAACCAGTATTCCACCCAGGTGCCAAGAAAAGCAATTAGAACTGGTAAACACCAGTAGCTGACTAAAACCAGGCCCTTAATTAATAGTTTCATCTGAAGGGTAAGGAAATCATTAAGTGCTATTGGTGTCTATTAGTTCCCTGCAAGACAAACAACAAGAGAGTTTTAAGACTTCTTTTCACCGTACAGCGTGTGCAGGAAGGAGCGACTGAGCCCTTGCAGAAGGTGGGAGAGCTTGCTTTGGGCAGCGGTGCTCTCCCGCTTCCCTGATGACTGCCCCAGCGGCCCGGGATGTGCTGCGGAATCAACAGCTCAGACTGAGTGTTTAGGTAGGACATGGCTTTGGGGCTGTTCCATCAGGGCAGGAGAGAAGGCGGATGGAAAAACGTGACTTCAACAAAAAGCTGTGCAACTGAAGCACTGTGCGGGAGAGCTCAGGGAGGGTACGCAGAGCTGGGGGTTTGGAAGACAAATATTCGTGATACTATACAGATCCAGCCACTGAACCATGGAGAATAGCGTCAGCCTCTTCTGTCCAGCTCAGGGAACGCTATATAAATATCAGTTGGAGGAAGGAGGAGGGATAGGTACCAGAACTAGGGATGGCAGACAGGGAGATAAAACCTCCCCCTGTATAAGCCCTGGTGGTGTATTGGTAGACTTCATAAAATGTTCACAAATGCTCAGAAACCAAGAGTGTTAAGGAGTGGCCTTTACAAAGGGCACAGCCTTGATTCTAAGTCTGGATAAGACAAAGATTTATTCTCGTTGCTTTCCGACTCTCGAGTCATCCACCTACTCTTCCGTGAATTTCGGAAGGACGGCAAATCTCTTCCGAATCTTATTTTTCAATTTGTTCTATCATCTTTATCTGACGTGGGCACTTCTGCTGCGCTGATGCGACGAGCAGCGTGTGGTAGAGAACGGTAGTGTTTGCTTTTCTCAGGGTGTTAGACAGTACATCGCTGACAAGCCTGCCAGCGCGGACTGGTGGTGCTCCTCCTTTCTCTTTCTCAGGGCTGGTCACCGTGCTTGGCGTAGAAACCAGTCCAGCTTTGCTGTAGGGCACACCGGTGTCCACACATGCCTTCCCCAGCTAGCTGCCCGGATACTCGGAGCGTTAATCTTTGCAGTTTATAGCTGACCTGGTATTTTTTCCATCAAAAGAGGAATATGAAGTCACTGGAAGCTCAGCCGTATTTCTGGAGCGAGGGGGAAGCTCTTCTAGCGTGTCAAACACCTATGGAAGAACCTCTCTTCCTCACTGTCAAATCTGTGACAGCTCAAGGAACTTCCCTTTAAGATAACCTACCCTCTATTCAAAATCAGACAGTTGGAGTAAGGTAGGGGATTCATCCGAGTCTTGTTTTCTTCTTTTCTGTCAAATGCAACTCAACAGGCTCTTCTCAGCAGACTGATTTCTTTCAAAACCTGCCGTATGCCATTCAGCCCCATGAAGGAGGTTCACTGCCTTGTTGCCATGGTACCCTTTCTCTAAAGAGGAATAGTTAATTATGCAATTTAAGAAACTAAGGAGGAACGACAGAAAGAGGAGTAATAGAAAGGCAGATTCTGGGTTGGTGATAAAACTGCTGGCTGTACCAAAATGCGCTATTTACAGGTGAAACATTTGCCCAGTGTTTGCTGTATACAGCCAGGGCTTCTCTGGCAGCATGGATTTCAAGGAGCTGCCCTTTGCTCGGCAGTGTGCCTCTCCCATCCAGGAAATCAATCCTGTGTCAGTTACTGCTGTTACCTCCCTGGTTAATGCTCCAGAGAGCCTCAGACGTGTTTGCTTGGCAGAAATTCTCTCTGGATGGAGCTGGGACAGCAATAATACATCACAGACCCGTGACAAGCTCATGCTGCCTGTGGATATACAGAGGTACAGTTCAGGACTTAAGTGTTTTAAATCTCCTTGGCAGCATTTCATTGTTCCTCAGGCCTACTAACCCCCTGCTTGCCCTGCCCAACACCTCAGAAAATCCAGTTTGTGGTGCACATGGCGGGACCAAAGAGACAGCAAGCATCAAACCTGGCAAGACCTCAGCCCCTTTAGAAGGACTGTCATTTTCCATTTGCCAGTAGTGCTGGCAGGCCAGCTACAGCTTGGGTGAAACAAAGCACCGCAACAGATCTTTGCCAGTAATGGATCCAGACTACAGTGCTCCGTGCTGTGCGAAGAGGGAGAGTTGCCTCTCACACGGCACTCTGAGCTCTGCAACCCAGGGGGAAGGGGAAGAGTTACCCCATACCTTGTTCCCAAATGCATGAAGTGAAAGAAAGAGGGAAGGAAGATGACGTGACCCCATGCAGTTGTTTACTACAGATGACTGGAAGAAGATCTGTTTCAGTACAGACCTCAAGCTCCCCTTCCACCTAACGAGGTCAATAATAGCATCAAGGGCTAGACTAGAGCCACATATGGCGGTAAGAGGAAGAGAGCAGTCAAGAGGCAATAATAATCCAAAATACTTCTGGGAACACAGCAGGAACGGCTGTCAAAAGACCAACATTTTAATCAACAAACTTTGTACACAAGAGGCTTCCCACTAAGGGAGTACACGTATTCCTGCTTTTACCACCAGCTTCTACCACCTGGGCTTTTAAGGCCCAGGATGGTCTCTCTTCTTCAAGCTTCCCTCAGAAAGCATTTACAGGGAGGGTGGATTTCCAGAATTTGTCACAGGAGCAACATTCAACCCAGTCCCTGTTGCATGAACTGACGTTGAATGCAGTGTGTCTTCAGATCTCCTCTCACATTCGCCTGGCTTTCCGTGGGCGGCAGCCATTGTGTGGAACTGGGGTGTTGTCCGTGATGGAGATGATCTCCAGTCCCCCCATAGTCAAACCCTTGATGGCAGCCTGGAAGAACAAGACAGCAGATGACACACTGCTATCAATACACTGAATAGCAGAGAAGGAAAAAACCTCAGAGAACAGTTTGGTCCCCCGTCCAAAAATCAACTTGTTCAATGGTTCTACTTTGTAATGATCTTATAAATAATGCATATTTTCCTACTTTAGTTGGAAGAAATCCCAAATACCGCTTTTATTCTGTGTCCAAAGTCAAATTGCTCTAAAATTCTAATTATTCTAAAATTTCATTACTAGGCACTTGAGTGATGAATTGTTTACATTACCTTCACAAAAACAAAGTTAACAGATGTAGTCATAAGACCAGCCTGAATTTAAAAAACCTGAATGATGCCCGAAAAAAGAAAAATATAAAAAGAAACTCTGACACCTACTTTGCGTCCTGGTCCCAGTCCTTTCACCATGACTCGTACATGTAATACACCCTTCCCACGTGCTTTCTGCGAAAAGAATAACTGGTTAGCGTTCTCTTTGATATTACTAATGCTGGTCTGGCTCCCCTGGATTCTTTTGATTCCCTTTTGACCCACTATCATAGTATTCTTTAAGTAAAAATAAAGAGTAGGTAGTAATGAATACAGAAGACAAATATGGGGATTGTTGCACAAAGACAGTAGGAGAAAAGGAGGCCTAGGTACAGCCATGGCAGTTTCAAGAAAACTTCTGTGCTAGGCTGTCAACTCTGCATCCATAGAAAACTTCAACATCAAACTATCTGTGACCTAAAGCCAGGGCAGAAAATGACATATCCATGGATACGTGACTGAACTGGCAAGGGACTAACAAGGACTAACTCAAAGCTGTTTTTCCTTCTCTAATGTAGCGACTTCTCTCCTGTGACCAGTGGATTCCTTCTAGAGGGTAAATGAGAAAAGCAGGCAAGCTTTGTATTTGCTGTGCAGGAGTCCACACCTTCAGTGCAAAAATTCTAGGGGCCTGCAAATTGAAACTGAAAAACACCTGCTGTAAAGCATAGCCGTGCTGCCACCAAGTGGATGAAGCTCTGCTGGGCCTCTCGCTCTCCATGTTATGGTGCAATTAATGTACTGACAACTTTAACAGTGACAGAATAAATCTGGCCAAGCACAGCTATGGAGCTATTAATAGGCTCCGATGAGCACAGATTAATAGTGAAGATGTTCCTATATTCCTCTGAGTCAACCACAATAAGCTGTTGGCCAGCAGTGGCACCAAACACCTCTGACATGAAAGGCTGGAGTGAGTTCTACCTAATTTAAGATGAGGATTATCAGTTTAACCTTGCCTCATTCTGCTGTAATGAGGACCATGACACAGCCAGCCTCATCTTCTCCTGCCACCTGGACACCCACATGTTTTTGTAGGAACAATTACAGTAAACTGTATGCAGCTGGAAACTACACGTGCAAGGACATCACCTTCTCTGACTGGAACTGCTGGCAGTAGTTCAATTCTCCCATGGCAGAGAGCAAATATAAAACATTCAGCCAGTAATTACAGCCACTTCTTGGTCCCCTCCAGTGCAAAAATTGAACTGCTGCTGATTCAGGGGCTACATTTCCAAAATGGCTGAAAGATGTTCACTTAGAAAAAAGGAGCTATGCAAACTGGAGCTAGAAAAAGATATGCTCCAAGTTACATTTCCCAATCACAACCTGCACAGCTAAGTTCACCCTCTGGGCATTTCCAACTGCTATTTTGAACTGACTTTGTCTGTGTGAAGATGCGCACTGTGTCAGATGAAGCTACGGAAACTTGTCTGCAAACAGCAGTGTGCTGCTTGAGCACTAAGGAACAGAGCTCTGGACTGCTGCTGCCCATGGGCGAGGTATGTACCCAGGTAGTGGGGGGGATGCAGTCATCGCTGCCCTCTGGGAGGGTGAGAATCATCAGTGCAGACTCACCACGGCTGCGGCTATGGCTGCAGTCTGTGCCGCGATGGCAGTTCCCTTTTTGGCATTCTGGAAGCCTTCTGTGCCACAGGACGTACGGGCAAACGGCCTGTTGTCAAAGCTGACCACTTGTATGTGGGTGCTACAGAAAGACAGGGGCAGAAGAAAGAAGCAAGCTAGAACAAAGCTTTGTTCTCCAGTTTCTTCTTGCTCATCTTACTGGCACAGCTTGCCACAGCACTCCTGTCTTCCTTCTCCAAGCCACCCTAACTCTGCACTCCCTTTTGAGGTATCCCACTTACATGAACCCACTGCAGAGACCTCCCAGGAGTGACCTTCTGGTCACCCTAGAGAACCTCAGTGAGGTGGGAAAACCTTTCTAGATAAGGTATACTTTATCCAGGTATTCCTCAGATACTGGTTAGCCCGCTCACAACCACCTCTCACTGTGAGCATTTTACCTCTTCCATTTATTTAAAAATCGCACAAAACATTTCTGGAACTTGAGAAAGCTTTAAGAAACAGTAATATATCGCACTAGGGATCACTAATGAAACACAACAATGTCTCATGGAGAATATGACAATTTTTTCAACAGCTGCACAGCAACAGTGCTAGAACTGAGGAAGTAACCTGCCATTAAAGCCGTCAGCATCTAATTATTCACATCAGAATGTAGTCAAAACGTGTAGTAACAACCTTATTGCTGTTAAAGACATTATAAGCACAATTATGCTTCCTGAACAGCACTAAGGTTTGGATTCAGTATTATTATCTTCCCAGTCCTGGACATCACTCCCCTGGATTTTTCCCATTGAGCCTTTTGATCAAGATGACTGGCAAAAACCTGGGTATGTTGGAAGCTTTCATTTTGCATGAGAGCAGGAACAGAGCAGATCATTTGCTTACTTGTTGTACGTAGCTTTGATGTGAGCTATTGGGATCTCTTCATAGATCTTTCCATCCCATCTCATGGAGTTCCTCTGCAGGATTAAAGGGCTGAGGAGCAAAACCAGAGTTATCAAGCATTCACTCTTTAAACTTGGCAAAGTTTTATTTCGTATTGGGAAAGGAGGAAGGGATCAAGTCTCTGAAAAACACAAGCTGCGTTTGTGATTGAGTTAAGTCATTTCCTTTCCTTCCTCGGCTGAAAAACCACCGAAGGCGATAAAACCTCCCAGCACGAGGCAAATGGCAGAGCCCTCCCGGCGCGGCCTGGCCGTCTCACCTCAGATCGGTGGCGCTCTGGTTCTCCGCCTCCTTGGCGGCCGCCGCCCCCGCAAGGTCCTGCAGCCTTTGGGGGCCGGTGCGTAGGCCACGGCACAAGGCGGCAGCACAGCCCCTGCGGGAAAAAAACGGTGAGGATACCGGGGCCTCCCCCGGGCGCTGGTTGTGGGGGGAAGCGAGCCGGAGGCCCGAAGGGGGTCGGGCTCAGCGTGGCCTCCCCTACCGGCCGCTATCGCGGGGAGAGGGAGCTGCAGCGGGCAGCCCAGAGCGCAGGGGTCACGGCTCCGGCTCCCCCC